TTTTGGGGGGGGTAACATTTTAATTTATTTTGTTTCAGAGTTCTGTATCACAAATCAGTTGCACAATGCTCATCTGTTAAAACTGACCTAGAATGAGATTTTACTGTCATCTTCTGTGTTGGTTACTTTCCTCATTGTTATGAAGTGCATAAAAAAAAAAAACAGTGAAGGAGAATTTATTTATTTTTTTATTTTATTTTATTTTTGTTTTTCGAGACAGGGTTTCTGGAACTAGCACTTGTAGACCAGGCTGGTCTAGAACTCACATAGATCCCCCTGCCTCTGCCTCCCGAGTGCTGGGATTAAAGGCGTGTGCCACCACAGCCCTGCTGAAGGAGAATTTATTTAGCACAGTTTGAGGTTATGCAGTCCATCTTGGCTGGAGTTTGGGTTGGTGGCAGCAGGAGCCTGCTCATATCCAGACAGATCAAGAAGTAGACACAGCAGCAAACTGGCAGGACTGTAAACTTCAAGGCCCCCTGGGGACCCCACTTCTTCCAGCTAGGCCTCTCCCACAACCTCTTAGAGCAGCATAAGGAGACTGTGTGGATATTTTACATTGATATCCTTGAATATGGTGTTCTGTCCAGATAAGTTATGCACAGTGTAACTTTGTCATTGTGAATGACAAAACATTGAGCAGCACTGTGAGGCTGTGAGAGCACCACATTAGGTCTTTGCTGCATATTCCTAACATTGTCTTCATAGCACAGAAGCAACCAGGCACAATATGCAAATGTCTGTTCCAATAAAATTTTATTTATGGACACTAAATTTGAATCTTACATATTTTCTATTTTTAAGAATAAGTTGATTCTTTTTCTAACTATTCAAAAATGTACTTGCAAGATGGTTGATGGTGGCACACAGCACTCGGGAGGCAGAGGCAGGCAGATCTCTGAATTCAAGGTCAGCCTGGTTTACAGAGTGAGTCTAGGACAGCCAGGGCTACACAGAGAAACCTTGTCTTGAAAAATCAAAACAACAAAAAAGTACAATCAAACATCATCAAAGCAGCACTGAGGAAATGTGTCCCTGATCATCACCCCTGTTAAGCATTCCCATTTGCTGTTGCTGTCTAGACCAGTTCATAGCAAAGTTGTATTTGAAAGACTTCAACCTTCTAAAGAAGACTGTGGAATCGATGTGTCCGTGATAGCCTTAAGTTTGAACATTTAGCTGACCTTCTGTTTTAAACATGGGTCTAATTTATTTGCTATTTCATTTTCCATACAATTCAGTCTATTTACAATACAGACTGTGTATTAAAATAAAATAAAATAAAAATCCAGGTACTTAAAGTAAAAAAAAAAAAAGCACATGCAAATTAGTAGTATACTAACTATATATAAAGGGGTGAAGACCAGATTCGCACTATGGCCTGTACCCTCCCTAAACTCAGATATAATGAAAAATCTCAAAACCTAATAGTTTTAAGTTTTATGTCTTTTCATCATTATCTTAGTTTTACAAAAACAGTACTTAGGCCAAACAAACAAATAAAACAACAAAAAATGCTGGGTGTGGTGGTGGCTCACACCTTTCTTTAATCCCAGGATTTGGGAGAGGCAGAGGCAGGAAGATCTCTTGAGTTTGAGGCCAGCCAGGGCTACACAGAGAAGAAACCCTGTCTTGGAAACAAACAAACAAAACTCATATGTGTGGTGCTAAAAGGCACTAAAGTTAGGTTGATTTATTAAGATTTGTTTTGTTACGTAATTAAAATATAAACAAAAGTTTGAACTAGTTATCAATTAGAACTCTAGTTATCAATTAGTAGGTTCTTTATGGTGAACGCTATTTCTTCTGGTGTGTATAGTGAATGCATTTGTACATTTTTAAGAGAGAGAGAGAGAGAGAGAGAGAGAGAGAGAGAGAGAGAGAGTGTGTGTGTGTGTGTGTGTGTGTGTGTGTGTGTGTGTGTGTAGGTAGGCAGGCCAGAGGTTGACATAGGGTGTCTTTGAGAAAAGATTTTGTTGGGTGCCAAGGAAATAATCACTTCTGTGGAAAACTCCTGGGCACACTCCCTAGAGATTATTTTCCCCCCCAAGACAGGGTTTCTCTGTAGCTTTGGAGACTGTCCTAGAACTAGCTCTTGTAGACTAGTCTGGTCTCGAACTCACAGAAATCTGCCTGTCTCTGCCTCCCGATTGCTGGGATTAAAGGCGTGCACCACCACCGCCTGGGTGAGATATTTTTTCAAGACATGGTTTCTCTGTATAACAGCCCTGGCTGTCCTGGAACTCACTCTGTAGACTGGGTGGCCTTGAACTCAGAGATCTATTGGTCTGAAGAACCCTAAGAAACCTGGATTCAAATCTTAATATTACAGCAAGTAGCTGGCCACTCAGCAACAAGTCACTGTCTATTTCCTCCCTCCACCCCATGCCTACCATGTCTGGTTTTTCAAATGGGGAGAATGCCTATTCAACTGGTGGTAAATAAATGATACACAGATGTGAAGAACGGGTTATTAATGATTAAATTTGGGTCAGGTTTCTATAATCCCTCTGATGCTCTAATTGCTTTGTATTTACATATTAAAAGTGATACTCTTTTAGTGGTAAATGTCTCCCTTCTGGAGTCCTCCCATTAACACCTGCCTCTGTGTGTGCTCTGTGATGTCTTTCTTAGGACTTGTCTTCTCCCCCTCGCTCTGGCTCAGTCCCTTCAATTTGCTTATGGAGAGTTCTTTTATGATTCTGAAGAAACCCTAGTTTTGGGTCACAAATGGTCAAGGGCATTTACAAGATAAAAAGTAGCTGAGTTCTTGGGGCCAACAAGCTTTAGGGGAAATTTACCATGTAGTAGCAGTTTGAAGCTGAATATTGGCACATGCTCACTGTGTTTTCAGAGTTGGTGCCAACAGTTAAACATTCCCGAGGCTGAATCCTATGTTTTTTTCTTTATTCCAGTCTTAATTCTCTTATTGTTATCTAGTACTTTGGTTTGATTCTGTTTTTAAGATCTCTGAATTAGTAGTTACCGTGTGTTGCGTTACAGCAAATACCTTTTTCACAAGCTTACTGCTTGGTTGGCTCTGGTGTTTCTTAGACTTCATTTAGTTTCCTTCTTGTTTTTTTTTTGTTGTTGTTGTTGTTTTTGTTTTTTTTGTTTTGTTTTGTTTTCTTTTTTTTTTGTTTTTCCGAGACAGGGTTTCTCTGTGGCTTTGGACGCTGGTCTGGAACTCACAGAGATCCACCTGCCTCTGCCTCCCGAGTGCTGGAATTAAAGGCGTTTGCCACCAACACCGGGCTAAGTTTCCTTCTGTGTTATTTTCCTTAAAAAATAATTTTGTCAGAGATTGTCTTTGGTTGTTAGTCATCTTTGTCTGATTATCAGGGTTTCATCCTTTGTGTTGTGTGTGGGTGTGCATGTACCACAACAGATGTGTGGAGGTTAGAGAACAACTTGAGGGAGTGGGTTTTCTGCTTTCAGCATGTGGGCCCTAGGGATTGAACAGGTTGCCAGGCTTGGTGACAAATGCTTTACTTGCTGAGCCATCTTGTATCAAATTTAAATCTTTCTTTCTTTCTTTCTTTCTCTTTCTTTCTTTCTCTTTCTTTCTTCCTTCCTTTCTTTCTTTTCAAAAGATTTTATTTATTTATTATGTATACGACATTCTGCTTCCATGTATATCTGCACACCAGAAGAGGGCGCCAGATCTCATAAAGGATGGTTGTGAGCCACCATGTGGTTGCTGGGAATTGAACTCAGGATCTTTGGAAGAGCAGTCAGTGCTCTTAACTTCTGAGCTGTCTCTCCAGCCCAATTGTTTTCTTATTCCTTGGAGTTATCTCTGTCTTCAGCCCTTGCCCTCTGCTCTTGCTGACAGAGCTAGTCCTCTTTTTCCTCTTGTGTGGCTTTAAGGGTTTTCTGTTTGCCTTTGTTTGTTTTTTGTTTTTAATCTGCAAGAGTGTGTAGTTTCACCATGGCATGTCTAGATCCTGCTTCAGTTTCATCTGAAGACCATACATATCTTTCATCAGTTCTGGAAAACAATCATTATCCTTTTGAACATTATCTTCTTACTGATTTCTCTTTTTGAATTTACCTTTTGTACATGTTGTAATAAATGTCTCATTAGTTTGCCCCTCCATTTCTTAAGTTTTATTTGTATTTTTATTTCATGTGTTACCTTTTTAAGTAATTTATTTTACATCTCTCAGTTCACTAATTCATTCTTTCAGCCCCCCCTTCTTTTTTTGGTTTTTGGTGTTTGTTTTCAGACAGGAGCTTGCTTAATATATAGCCATTGTTGACCTAGAACTTGTTGTATTGCAGACCAGTCTGTCTTTAAACTCACAGAGATCCTCCTGCCTTAGCCTTCCAGGTGCTGGGATTAAACACTTGTGCTATCACCCCTAGCCTACAAATTTTTTAAAACTTTATTTAATGTTTAATGTTGGGTTTTCTTTTTACTTTTTGGGGGGTGGGGGTTTGAGATAGGGTTTCTCTATGTAGCCTTGGAGCCTGTCCTGGAACTTGCTCTGTAGAGCAGTGTGACCTTGAACTCACAGAGATCCACCTGCCTCTGCCTCCTGAGTGCTGGGATTAAAAGTGTGCAACACCATTGTTTTTATTTATGTATTTGAAATAGGATCAACTATAGAGCCTCACGAATGTTAGTGCTTTATTTATTGCTGAGCTATATGTCCAACCCCAGGAGTCCTTTTAAAATTGTTTATTATTATTATGTATATGAATTATGATACATATATGTAGGCACACACATGTCCTAGTTTGTGTGCCTGTGAAGATCCAAAGACAACTTTGTAGAGTTGATTCTTTACTTCCATCTTTATGTGGTTTCTCAGGTCATCAGGCTTTATTGGCAAGGATAGCTGTCTGCCCATACCTCTTCAGTTGAGGACTTTTACACTGTGGTTTTGCACATTAGCTTATTCGTTTGTTTACTTTTACATATTTAAGATGAAGAACTTCTATAAAGTGTAAAACTTAGTTTTTTCTTTTCCTCCTAAACTTTTTTTTTTTTTTTTAAATATGCTTTTGCTTTATACCTAGGTGACAAGACACGCCCACCTTCCTCAAGTCCCTCCAGCATTATCAGGCGCACTTCCTCCCTGGATACGCTTGCAGCTCCATACCTTGCTGGGCACTGGCCCCGAGAGAGTCGAGGGCAAGCCACGCCCTGCATGAGGGACAAAGCCACACAGGTAGGTTTTTCTTCCTTGTTGTACTCTGAAGCATTCAGTGCACATCAGAATCTCCTTGGAAGCAAATCAGCTGACAGGAAACCTGGCCTAGTGTGATGATCATCAGATCATCTGTTGAGTTTTGTTTCACCTTGGAATTCCCATCTCAAAAAGTTCTCAGAGGTAATTCCCATACAGATAGATAATTGTGGATGTACTTTTCCCCATTTATTACTTAGAAATTAGGCTAGAATTTCACAATATTTTTATGTCTGAACTTTGAACTTAAATTTGTAACAGTAGGATTACTCTGCATAGTATTTAACATTTTTGTGTCAAAAAAATCCATCATGTATTGGGAAATTATATTGCTGATATTCTTTTTTAATTTATTATTTGTTTGTGTGTGTGTGTCTGTCTGTCTGTCTGCACACTTATGCCTTAGAGTTCATATGGAAATGAGAGTACAACTTTGTGGAGTCAGAGTCAGTTCTCTTTCCACCTTTATATGAACTCTGGGAATAAAATGGAAGTTGTCAGCAATGTGCCTTTATTAAGCTTGTTCACTGCCCCCATTGCTGATTGATTTCATAAATGTAAACATATCAAAATGGAAGTCTGAAAGTGAAGTTTCATACTTTTACATTTATAAAACTGATTCATTAAAGGGATCTTAGAAAGTCATTCATAGAACAATTTATAAATTTGTAGTTAAAGAATTGAAGTCCAGTATTGTACAGGCATTTCATGATTGCATGCTAGTTAGGAGTTTCTTTTTATAGTATTAACTACCACATTGTAATTAATTAAGTGTTTGTATAATTCTGTATCCATGTTTTTCATACTTAATAGATAGTGACTTCTGGTAAGGTGAAGTTGTGTCTGCCTTACTGTTGCTGTTTTTTCAGGGTTGCACCTGACATAGTAAGTGCTGACAGAGCTTTGCAAAGCAGTGCATCAACAGCACAGTATTGCCTTCTTGTTAAAGGAAAATGAAAGACTTTAAAGACTTAATATTGTTGGGAATCAGCTAATTGGTGTCTCCATTGTGGATTTAAAGTTTACACCATTAGTAGTTGCTAATAATGCATCCCAGAATTTTTGAAGAGAATCATTTTGTTCAAAGTCAAGGACACACAGTTTGGGGTGGTTTAGAATTTCCATGTGGGTATCTAGGATTCCAGGTATTCCTGCAGAGTTTTGTTTTCTGGTAGGATACTCTTGAAGCCAAGTCCTTTCATTAGGTTATGGTTGGACTTTGGGGTTGGCTGCACTGAGGCTTCTACTCAGGGGCAACTAAAGGAAAGAAGTGAGTCTGTTCCTCAGAAAGCGGTCTTTTCTGAAATAGTTAAAAGGCTTCCATAGAACCCTTTATTTAAAATCTGTAACTGCTATACTTGGTGCAAAACAGTGAGGAAAATTAGTACAGTTTCCATTTGACATCACTTGTGTGTGTTTGGGTTTTCTTAAACCTCTCTCCTATCTCAGGGTCCATGGGCTAGGGTCTCCTGCAGTATTAGTAAGAACACACTATGCTATGAGCCTTTGTGAGCTTGCTGTATGGACACATTTCAGGAAGCCTTTTCATTAGCCGCTGGGGCTTGGATTAACCTGTAAACCTCATATTCTCAGTGCCCATAAATTAGGAATATTAAGAGTACAAGTATATAACTGTCAGTCTTGATTGTAAAATCTCTAAAAATAGTACAGTGATAGTAGAATACCTCACTTTAAAAACAAAAAACAAAAAAAAAAAGAGAGCCCCTCTTTTGTTATAGAGGCCCTTTGGAAGGGGAACTAAAAAAAAATTTTATAATCCCAGGCAGTAGTGGTGCATGCCTTTAATCCCAGCACTCAGGAGGCAGAGGCAGGCGGATCTCTGTGAGTTTGAAGGCAGCCTGGTCTAGAAAGTTAGTTCCAGGACTGCCAGGGATGTTTCATAGAGAAACCCTGTCTCCAAAAAAAAATATATATATATATATATATATATATATTTTTTTTTTTAAAAATTATGGGGCTAGAGAGATGGCTCAGCGGTTAAGAATATTGACTGTTCTTTCGGAAGACCCAGGTTCAACTCCCACCACCCATTTGGCAGCTCATAGCTGCCTGTAACTTAAGTTCCAGTGGATCTGATTCCCTCACTTGAGCATGCAGGTCTAACACCAATGCACATAAAAATAAAAAATAAAAATTATAATAAATATTAGGTTTTATTATAATAAGTTTTAAAGGGACTATAGAGAACTTAGTAAAGTGATTGTCACATAAGCTTAAGAACTTTAATTCATGTTCCACAGAACCTACTGAGCACAGCTTAGTATTGTATAGCAGCATGTATCTAATCTCAGTATAGATGGGGAGGCAGTGTCAGGAGCATCATTAGAGCTTGCTGACCATCCTGTCTACCTGAATCGTGAGCTCCAGCTTCAGTGAGATACATGGTCTCAAGTGGAGTGGCAGTGGCAAGCAGCAGAGTGGGCCCAAGGCCCACTATAGGACTAGGAGGAGAGGAGCTGCTGAAACATGATCAGAAGGTGGCTTTCCCAGCTGCACATTGCTTATGTGTTAGGTAGCACTGCCCAGTTACGCTCTCCAAGATCCATGTTGTCCACACATCTGTCTCCTGTATTCTCCTTGTCATTAGCCAAACTCAGGAAACCTCAAGAAATTGTGCAAGGACAAAAATACAAGCTCCTGGACCTGTGGCCCAAGAATATGAGAGCCATGCACCACCAGCTCACCAAACGCAAAGAGAAGCTGGCAGCCAAGAAGCAGCAGTTTAGGACATGGCTGAACATGCTTCCCAAGTATAGTAGTCAAGTCCTGAGGTATCTGCAACAGTAAACACAAAGCTGGCACATGCGTACGCACGCGGATGCATTCTGCACATGTAAACACACATACATCCCCCAAAACTTTAAAATTATAGTAAACTGTATAATCTATAAATTTTGTTACTATTTTTGACCATTCAATACAATTTTGTTGGCATTTTTTTTTTTTGCATTAAAAGAAAACCACTAATGAGAAACTACATCCTACATACCAGAGTCATTCAAAGAAGTTTTATTCCATTGGCTAGAACAGAATAGACAGCTTTGAACATATGTCCAGCCCCAGCCACTTCAGGCAGAGTATCTTACTTGGAGTGTTTTGTGTGTCACAGCTGCAAGGTGACTTAGAAGGTAACTAACAATGTGCCTAAGTTGCAGGTCCAGGGATTAAAAAGTACCTCATTGAACCTGAGAGGATGCTAGAGCATTGAAACAGACCATGGCTCTTACAGACAAGTAAAGTTGAGACTATAGAGGTAACTACATCCAAAAACTATGAAGACAGGCATGGGTATATTGTAGGAAGATGCCAGTATTCCCATGACTGTGGAAAACCTTTGAAGTCCTGGATAATAACAGATATGAACTCAACCCTGTTGGAAGTTTCCTGTGGGCTGGCTCTCTCTCTCTCTCTCTCTCTCTCTCTCTCTCTCTCTGTATATTCCTAGATACTTGTAAGTATGAAGTGCCCTAAGTACTCAAATGACAAATTCTTTGCCACAGTGAAAGTGCCTGCATGCCATTCAGTTCTAGTTGATGGAAGAAATCATGCACCAGTTTTGCACTATTTTTCTCATTTGTTGTTTCTTTATTAATTTCTACATAACTTCAAAGAGATGCTGTAAAGGATGGGACTGAATTTTTCTTCATAACCAGACAGAAATAGTATGCCCCAGTCTCCAAAATAAGTTATTGTTTTGTATGGCCTGGCTGTTCTGGAACTCTCTGTAGACCAGGATGGCCTCAAAACTCATCTCTTCTGCCTCTGCCTCCCAAATGCTGAAACTAAAGTTATGTACCACCATGCCCAGCTTAAAAATAAATTATTATTCTTACTTGCTGTCCTAAACCTTCTTTTAGGTTTTCAATAAAATTTCCTATGATGATGGGTTGCAAATGTCCAACATGAATTTTTCTGGCACCATTAGGTGAATTGAATTTAACCACAATCTTCTGGGGAAGAACAGGCAAAAGCTGACCTTTTAATCCATATTCTGAGCTATGTTCAGTTACACGGTGCAGCAGTGTACCTGTGTTAACAATTTCTGTTTATTTTGAGGTTTAGAGTCCTAAAAGCAGCACTGCTTGCACACACCACTGTATCACGTTTAAGCTTCTCAGCCAGTCTCTTGACTCATTGTTGTCTTCTGATAAATAGTTAAAAGAAAACTGAAAATTTGCTACTACTTTGTTTTGAAACTGGAACTACAGATATTGATCAAGCATTTTCTGGTGGAAGAGCTAATACACTAAGAAGCAGACAGGTGGTAATCACCAGTTGCTGCATTCCATGCTGGCCCAACCTCCCCCTCACATGTCCTGCCTCCATGCCAGTTTAAAGCTTACAGATATCTATTTCTGGGCTAGCATGACTGTTCAGTGGATAAAGGTGCCTGGCACCAGAGCCTAATGGCTTGAATTCAATCTCCCAGACCCTCGTGGAAGGGGAGAACCAGCTCCTACAGATTGTCTTCTGATCTCCACACAGCTCTGTGACACTCTCATACATATCCACACTTACTAACATACACTTTATATAAATAAATGTAATAAAATTTAATACATATCTGTTCCTGTAATTCATCTTTTTTCAAAACAGAGAAAACAAATTCATAAGGGATATGTAACTTCTCTGAGATGTCACATTTTATAACTGATGTAGGATTTAGGCTTGGTGTTTAATATCAACATGTATTCACTGAACCCTGTGAATTTTGCTGCATAGTTACGCTATATTTTAATATTTAAAGGTTTTTATACTGAACATCATTAATTTTGTTTTTGTTTAGTGTGAATATTTTATGCTCTGTGGTTTCATTGTAGGTTTGCCTTTGTGATGGGTATTTTTGTGGTTTTGGGGGTTTTGTTTTCAAGACAAGGTGTTACTAGTATCCTTGGCTGACCTACAACTCCCTGCATAGATCAGACTGGCCTCAAGCTCAGAGAATGCTCCTTTTGTGTGCCACTATGCCTAGTGTTACAGCTATTTTGACAATTGACATAGATCCTGTAGACCCTTTGTGAGAGAGAGCATAAACACATCAGGGTCAGTTGGAGGCCCCCAATGGGAAGTGGAATTTAGAGTGACATGGTGGTCACTGTGTGAACTGAATCTTGAGATTCAGTGTTTAGGGTCCATGTCAGACTGGAGTTCTCTTCAGTGTAGGGAGCTAGGCCTGGGCAGATGACTAGTTAGGATTACAATTTCTTGATTTTGGAAAACCTTTCATTTTTATTTCCATCTAAAAGTTGACCATTTTATAGTTAGTGTAAGTAGTATGTTAAGAATACCCATATTGCCAAACTGAAGTAATTTTGAAAACACTATTGTTTTGAATAGATCATATATTTATATAGAAAAAAAATTCAAGAGGTACAGAAGAGTACACTGCAGTCTTTTCCCAACAAGGGGCCACTAATAATCAGTTAGTTTGTTTGTTTGTTCCTTCCTTCCTTCCTTCCTTCCTTTCTTTCTTTCTTTCTTTCTTTCTTTCTTTCTTTCTTTCTTTCTTTCTTTCTTTCTTTCTTTTGTTTTTCGAGACAGGGTTTCTCTGTGTAGCTTTGGAGCCTATCCTGGCACTCGCTCTGGAGACCAGGCTGGCCTCGAACTCACAGAAATCCGCCTTTCTCTGCCTCCCGAGTGCTGGGAATAAAAGTGAGCGCCACCAGTGCCCAGCTTAATCAGTTTCTTTTGATGCCACGAATATTTTTCAAAAGCAAAATATAACAGAAAGCCATGGGACACTCATCAAAGGATGGGTTCTAACTCCCTGTGTAGCTAAAGATGACCTTGAGCTTCTAATCTGCCAACCGTTACCTCCTGAGGTTTGAATGGACCACCAGTCTGATATATGCAGTGTTGGAAAGGCACAAACTCAAGGCCTTGGGCATGCTAGGCAAGCACTCTACCAGCTGAGCTACACCTATGCCCAATCCTGTGTATATTCTTACAGAGACAGTTTATTTAACATGTGCATTTTCTGTAACAATTCCAGGTAGTGGACAGTTTCCATACACACCACATTAAGTCTTGCATTTTAAAAAAAAGTATAATTAACGAGTATGTATGTATGTATGTATGTATGTATGTATGTATTATTCTCATATTCATTTTTTTCAATAGCTGAATAGGATTCTGTTGAAAATGTGGAGCCAAGCCTAAATAAATATAGTTTGTATCTTAGGGTTTTCATTACTGTGAAAAGACACCATGACCATAGCAACTCTTACAAAGGAAACATTTAATTGGTATGGCCTCCTTAGTGTTTCAGAGGTTCAATCCATTATCATCATGGTTGGGGAGCATGATGGCAGGCAGACAGATGTAATGAAGTAGTTGAGAGTTCTACATCTTTGCAGGCAACAGGAAGTCAACTGAGACACACTGGGCAGTATGCTGAGGAGAGGGAACTTTAAAGCCCACCCCCACAGTGAAACATTTCCTCCAATAAAGTCCCACTTACCCATAGTGCCTCTTACTTTGGGACCATTTTCTTTCAAACCATCAGTTTATATCAGTCAGGTCTTTTACTTGAGAACGGTGCTATAAGGAATGTTGTAAACGCCTTGCTTTGTAAAGGTGTGCATTTGAGGGACAGGGAGATAAATAGCTCAGTAGGTAATGTGCTTGCTATGCAAATGTGAGGACCTGAGTTTGAGCTCCAGAACCAAGGTCAAAAAGGTGGCAGTGGCGAACACGCCTTAATTCTACCAGGGGGAGTCAGACAGAGGCAAGCAGATCTGTGAGTTTGAGGCCAGCCTGGTCTACATAGTGAATTTCAGGACAGCTAGGACTACACAGAGAAATTCCGTCTCAAAAAACTGGAGGAAAAAAAAGAAAAAGAAAAAGGACAGAAAAGAAAAGAAGCTGGTAGTGGTGTCACATGCTTGTAATACCAGTGCTGAGGGGACAGAGACAGGCAGATCCCTGGGCTTGCTGGCTAGCCAGCATTGCCTGTTTGGTGAGTCTCAAGGCAGTAAGAATATCTCGAAAAATAAGATAAAATGCTCCTGAGGAAGTTTTAGTTAGGCTGTCCTCTCTCTTCCACATGAACATGTATGTGCATACACATGCACAGAGCTGAACACTTTACATGTCTGCTGTTAGACCCCCGGAAATCTCAGGTATCCAGGGTCCCAGGCCACGTTCTTGGTCACCCCAATCACCAGGCGGATTCGAGAGCTTGCTGCAAACTGCACGAGGCTTTATTGTAATTTAACAAGCTAATCCCATGTTAGCGCGGGTCTTTCACCCACCCGCCATGGCGCCATGGCGGATGGCTAGAAAAGACAGCTCGTAGGGCCTCCCAAGAGATCTTACAGGACAGCGTAAGGGGAGTGTCTAGGGGTACGCACAGGCTCACGATTGGTGTGCTTCCAGGCTTGGAGGGCTTGCCCTGTGTTGATTGGTCAACTGGTTGTTATGGCCCATAGGCCCTCCCAGGGTGGTTGCTATGCTTTGTGCGTCATTGCTGTCATTGCTGTGTGCTTGTCCGTAAAGCACACCCAGGGTCGTAAAGCACAGCGCCACCAGCTAACTTCTGATTGGTTCCTTGTCACGAGGCAGGCATCTGACTTTCTAATGTCTGGAACAAGGTCATAGAAGCACATGTTCGGCCGTTAGGGCTGCCAAAAGGGAAGCTGGTCCCTTCACTGCAGGGTCAGTTACCAGAAGAGGGGTTGAATTGTCAAGCTGTATGTGACTTAAAACTGACACCGGTTGACAAAGTCTCAAAAGACTGTCCTAATTTATACCTTCACTGACAATGTGGGAATGTTTATGTTACCAAGTTTTTCCCAGTCATAGTTCACTTGATTTCTCATATTATTCACGAGGTTGAGCATATTTTCTTTCCTTTTCTTTTCTTTTCTTTTTTTTTTTTTTTTTTGAGACAGGGTTTCTCTGGCACTTGCTCTGTAGACCAGGCTGGCCTCAAACTCACAGAGATCCGCCTGCCTCTGCCTCCAGAGTGCTGGGATTAAAGGTGTGCACCACCACTACCCAGCTAAGCATATTTTCTTGTGTCAAGAATTTACTTGGCATTTATATTTTCTGAAACTTAAACTCCAAATTTGTTGTAACCATTAAAAATTGATGTTTTTGAGGCTGTTCTCTACACATACTTTATGCATGAGTAAACATAGTATCAATATAAGTTTATTTCTAAGCTTTCTGCTTCCTAGCCTTGAGAACCTAGGTACCCTCTATAAACATCTGATTGTCATAGTTTCTTTATCTTCAAATTTTATGGACTGCTTAACAGTGCCTAGTACATAAAAGCACAGGATTTTTTTTTTTTTCCTTGAGATGGGTCTCTATGTAGTTCTGTCTTTTGTGGAATTAACTCACTTTGTAGACCATAGAGAACTCACAGAGATCCACCTGCCTCTGTGCTGAGAGGTGTGTACCATACCCAGCCTAAGAATAGGAATATTAACTACTGTTACTATGCCTCTATACTCTGCTCTATTAACAGTGTACTTACAGATTTGTAAAGGTAAGACCGACCTTGTTAGTATTGGAAACAAAAGAGAGGTTAAAATATTTTTTATAATTAACTAGTGGTAAGAGACTTTTGGGTAGTTTGTGGTATTTAAAATATGCTGGAGACATGGCTCGGTGCTTAAGAGCACTGTTCTTACGCCCACATGGTGACTCACAATCATCCATAAGCACACACAAGGTACATATACATACACACAGGCAAGACACTGACACGAGTAAAATAATAAAATCTTCAAATATTAAATATGTTCTAATAATACTTATAATTTTTATGTAGCATACAGTATTTAATAGAAAAAAATCTGATGTAATATTCCTAAATATTTTTGTTAAAATAACTTTTTTTTTCTCCTCTACAATAGACTGAGAGTGCGTGGGCTGAAGAATATGCTGAAAAGAAGAAAGGATCTCATAAGCGCTCATCATCCTGGGGAAGCACAGAACAGCTTAAAGAGGTCAGAAAACCGTGGAAGCAGAAATTTGGCTTTTCCAATTGGCTAGCTGCTTAAAGTTGTGGACTGCAAAGATTTGTCATTTTCCTAGTATAGGGAAGGTATATATGGGTGTATGCCCTTGTGTAGAGGGTATGTGTGCCTGTGCATTAACATATGGAGACCAGAGGTCCATGTCAGGTGTTGGCTACTTTTCACTCTGACTGAACCGCTCACTGTTGCAGTTGTCCCGATTGGCCAGTGAGCCTCATCTGTTTTTCTTACACCTCCTATTAATCCCATAGGAAGAGAGTCTTTGGTCAAATTAAGCCAGCTTTATTTCCCCAAAGCAGGGTTTGAAAATACAACACTGAACATAGGAAAAAGTGGGGATTATATAGTCCCTCAAAACTGCAAGGCCTAGGGGATTTTCAAGGGTTGGGAATTCTAGAGGAATTTCAAAATTGTATATTCAAGGGGTGAGTATAGGGTGGGGAGAATGTCAAATTACAGAAACAGGTTAACACACAGTCACTTTGAATTTTGCAGCAAACAGAAATGAACTTGTTCTGACCTTATAACAAAATGGTTTCCATCCTTAGGTTAGAGCCTGGCTAGTCCTTCATTCCCCCCTTTTCTTATGTATCCCTTTCAAATCCTTGATAGGGAGTGATCATTTTTATCTGTTGTATGAGCTGATAATGCCAGCAGACGGCAAGTATTTGAGCATTTTCTATTTGATGAGAGACAAAATTTGCATTGTGACTAGCTTTTCTCTATTTATGTCTGATTGGTTAGCATAGAAAATACAAATTTCTCTTAAAACCACCTCTTTGTTTTATATAGATCAGGTTGAGTGCCTTATCATATTGTAGAACTAGTTTAGCTAATGATATACCTGTTGATAGATCTTGGTCTGTTTGGTTTCAACAGGTACCTTTCTGATCATGAAGAAGCCAGGTACGCCAATAGCCATTTTGTTCAGTTTGTCAGGGAGTTTTCTTTGGATTGAACATTCCAGCCTTTGTTGAGGACAAGGGGCTTCCTGCTGAAATGAGGATGTCATTATCAGGCCCAGGGAGACTGGAATATTAATCAAAGGCCGGGAGGGGATTCGGGCAATTAGGTATTCATCAGAGGGATCTAGTTTGTTGACCCAGCAGAAAAGACAGGGAGCAATCATGTTGGTTGGACTGGTCCACATCAGTTTTCAGCCAGTCTAAAGCTTTCTGGTTTTGTGGACTACTTGGAGCTGGTGTGGTGTAAATCACCCTTGGAGCAGTTTGCAGTCCCCAGCTGATCTCTGAATGGTGTCTACCAGCCAGGTGGAACCCCACCAAGACACATAACAGACTAGGGACAGATGTTAAAGAACTTAGGGAGACTTTTATATTTGGCCCATAGTCCTGGTGGTTGAGGGAGGGGAGGAGTCCCAAGACCATGAAAGAGAGAGGAGGAGCAGGCAGGTGGAGAAACTGTTGATTGACAGGTTTACTTATGATACATTAGTATTAGCATTGTTTGTAGTCTGTACTAAAATCCTCATTGTAGAAAAAGCAGCTAACAGGTGCTTATAAAAACAGCTGGAGTAGACTCATGTGATTAAATCATAGCAAAAGCTATGGCTTTGGGTTAAAAAGCATGAATATTCTTTCTTGTCCAGAGGGCTGAATATAGATTGGACAGATGTTTTTTAGCATGATGAGAAACATCTTCAAATCTATATTTAGAAGACAACCAAAGGAAATTTAAAATCTTGAGATTGTGACTGATAATAATAGTCAGTGCTTTACCATCTTACCAGAACTCTGTTGATCAATGTTAACGCTGAACCTTAGAAATTTTAGTATAATGATAATCTAGAGTAACTTGTATTTATATCCTAAATTGTTTTCTTAGATTTTTGTAATCTATTTAAACGTTTTTTTATATCCTTAGATCTTTAATAACTTGTATTTTTTTTTAGAATATTTTCTTAGGCTCTCAGAACTTATATACATTTAAAATCTTTTTTAATCAGTTATTTACCATGAGACATAAGTAGTTGATTATTGAGAGCAGTCATTGCAAAGCAAATTCCTTTAAATAAGTATAAGTTGTTGGGCCTTGGTGGCGCATAATTTTAATTCCAGCACCTAGGAAGCAGAGGCAAACAGATCTCTTGAGTTCGAGGCCAACCTGAGTTTGAGTCTTACAGAGCAAGTTCCAAGATAGCCAAGGCTACACAGAGAAACCCTGTTTTAATGAAAACAAATAAGAAATTATAGAGACTTACTGGCTGCCTAGATGATTACCCCAATAGGCTTTAGGAGTAGTGTTGTTGGGGGCAAAGGTCAGTTTTTTACTGTTACACAGGACAGCGTAGGCCTTAAGGCTGCCAGACTGAGAGATTTTCCTGTGGAGAAGGAACTTGGGACAATTGACTCCACTTCGACTTAGGCATTGTAGGGCAGTCAACCCAACAGTATTCACAGTTTGTGCAGTGCCTTGGCTGCAGGCAAGGCACAGGGCAGTTTTTCCCAGTGGTAAGTGCCATCACAATCCAGGTCTGTGCCCATTGTCTTCTTTGGAGACATTGTTGCTGCTAACAGCTGTTATCTCTGTCCATCATAGGAACTTTTTAAATTAAACATTTTAAATGCCATATTAAGCAGATCTCTGAAAAGTTTTGAGGGCCATCTATTCAGTATACCTGATTTAAGTAAACTTTGTTTTTGGGTATTTGCTTAGGCTTAACCCTGAAAAAACATAATAGGAGGCTAAAACAAAGCTTATTCCTGTAAATAAATTCCATTTGTACCCAGCATGACTACAAGCATGTTTTGAACATATTAGAGAATTTGGTCATTTATAAAGGTGACTGTTAACCCATGTTTTAATTACTTTTTAGCGGTATATATATAACAAGTTAGTAGCTTTTATAAGATTGGGATTCAAACTTAGTTTTAGATTGATTAGCATTTTAATTTAATATTAGCCCTTAGAAACATTGAACTTTTAGGGGTTTTAGACATGGTGTGCTGTAGGCCCAGCAGAATTTGAGGAAATAGTAACCATTGATGCTCCATCTATGTCTAGCAGTAAGAACCAGTCCTTAGCTTTTGCATAGTTTTCCTCCAATAACCAGCACCTACACACATCCAAGTATCTTGGATTTCATGCTGTCATGTAGTTTTTGTAGAGCCAGCAGCAGGCTTGCACACATTACCAAAGTCAGCGTCTTTGTTTCAAGGCAAGACAGACCATAAGATGCCGTCTTTGCTCTAGATATCCCTGTGGGACTAGCACTTCTGAAATCCCCATTCTTCTTTTTACTTTTTGTCCTTTCTCCATCTTCTTCCTACTGTTGTACTTTGGAGCCCTTTTTAGCCATTTTCATCTAGAACCTTAGTTTAGGAGCCTGCTTCTATGACGACCTTTTAAGATATCCACTGGCTCTTCAGTTGATGAAAGTCACATTCAGATTTGTAGATCTCTAAGGCTAGCAAGAAATCATTTCATGTAACATTCTGGCAATGTCTGGCAGCAAAAGTCCTTTTGGCGGGGGAGGGGGCACTTGAAAATAACAAAGGAAAAAGTAACCCTTGGGTGGAGGGAGAAGCTTCCTGGGCACAGTGACAGAGTTTACTTGGCCTGTGTGCTTTACCAGAAAGAAACTGAAGGTTTTGTGGCTCTAACTCTTTACCTTTTTTTTTTTTTTTTTAAATCTTTTATCTACAGTAACATAGATTTTTGCTATCTTTGTCTGTTCAGGACCCCGCTGTATCCTATCCCATAACATTAAACCTCTGCTGCTTCTTCTAAGTTACGTATTAATCAGAAGATACAACAGGGATGCTGGTCCCTGCTAGTGAGTGTCAGGTTGACATCAAGATCTGACCAGAGATGCAAGCAGCCCTAAGCCAGGGGGTGCCTGAGCTAGTTTTCCCCCACGAGACAGTTTCTTTTATCTCTTCTCTTGGTTCTGCTTTTGGCAGCATTTTTGTCTTGACTTTTTAAAAATGATTTTTTTTTTAAGACTTAGTTCTCTAAAGTGTAAACTAGAATTGACAAAATTATTAGAAGATTTTTTTTGCATATATTAAATGACAACATCTTTGGTTTGATAAATGCAGATGCAATGAATTTGAGGACATTTAAGGATAAGCACTTGGTTTAGTCCATGACATTTGAGATAAAGTTGAAACCCAGAAGACCTATTAGTTTCTATTTTAGAGAAGGTGTGGTTATATACCATTATCCAAGTTATTATATACATAGTATGTTATAGCAAATTAAAATTACCCATGTATAGATTTTAAATTATCAACCCTTGTTAAATAAGTTTTAAGTTAACTATTTGTTATAGACTTTATAAATCTTTAACCATACCTAATAAATGTATAAATCTTTTTTTAAATATTTATTTATTACATACACAATATTTTGCCTGCATTATTCCTGCATGCTAGAAGAGGGCAGCAGATTTCATTATAGATGGCTGTGAGCCACCATGTGGTTGTTGGGAATTGAACTCAGGACCTCTGGAAGAGCAGTCAATGCTCTTAACCTCTGAGCAATCTCTCCAGCCCCTAAATTTACAAATCTTAAGGTACAGAAAGTTCATATAATAATTTTATAAATCTTGAGATAAAATTTGTATTTTAGCAAAAGTCTTAGAAAGTCAAGTGAAACCAGCAGTCTTTTTCTTTTTGGCTGCTTTGTTTTGCTCTCTTTCTTGGCATAACATCAAGTGGCTCAACTGTCTTAGGACAGACAGGAAACTTTTAAAAAAGAAGCAGGAGCCATAACCCAATTCCATAGCTAGCTTTTCATTAAGCAGAATAGCATAAAACAATATTCCAACAGTATCATATCTAAGAGACATCTGAATCCCTGCTAAATTGAATTCAGTTGACCAGGGGGAAGGACCAGAGCAATCTCAGAACAAAGAACACAGCCATGGCAAGTGGCCAAAGCTGCAGTAGCACGCTCACTCTCCCCTTTCGGGGTCACATTGGCTTATGTACAACTGGGGACTAGGAATCAGGAAGGAAGGCAATGGAGGAGGCTCCATTTTCCAGGAGTTTATAGGGGAATTGCCAGTGGCCACCCCTGCTTGTCCGTCCATGTCCAGCTGCCTGCTCAGGCCATCTAGTCCTTGCTGTCTGACTGTAAGATATAAATATTTTAACAGGAAATATGAATGTTTTAACCCGATGATGCAAGACTTGTATTAAATAGAATCTGTATGTACCTAGAAATATATATAGACATCATATTTATAAAATTAATGTTTAAGAACCTGACATTTTCCTGCATATGATAGTGCTTTTGAGATTTAGTAACTCTTCATAACCAGTTCTTTTTTTCTTTCTTCTTTTATTTTGTTTTGTTTTCTGAAACGGGTTTCTCTGTAGCTTTGGAGCCTGTCATGGAACTCTTTAGACCAGGCTGGCCTGTAACTAATAGAGATCCGCCTGCCTCTGCCTCCTGAGTGCTGGGATTAAAGGTGTGTGCCACCACTGCCCAGCTTCAACATAACCAACTTAAATATAGATGGCTCTGTGATTTAATTATTGTTTTCTGTGTCTTTAATTAATGGCATTGCCTTTTACCCATAATAGAAGTAAATGAGAAAAATGCATTCAAAGGATAATAATGAGATAGCCATTGAAACTGTATTTGTAGCCAGGCATGTTGGCACACACATGGAAGGAATCCCAGCACTTGGGAGGAGGAAGCAGGAGGATCAAGACTTGAAGGCTAGCCTTGGTATGGTGGTTTGAATGAGGTGTCTCCCATAATCTCATCATGCCTTTGAATACTTTGTCTCCAGTTGGTGACACTGATGGGGGGTAGGTTTAGGAGCTGTGGCCTTGCTGGAGAACCCATGTCTTTGGGAATGGGCTTTGAGGCTTCAGAGTCATGTCATTCTACTTTGCTCTTTGCTTCATGCTTGTAATAAATGATGTAAGCTTTCAGCTCTTGTTCCTGTCACTGCTCTGCTCTATTATCATGGGCCCTTATCTCTCTAGAACTGCAAACTCAAACTCCTTCTTCTATATTGCCTTGGCCATGATATTTTATCACAGCAATACAAAAGTAGTTAATACATTTGGGTAATGAGATCCTGGCTGAGAAAACAGCAAATTGTATCCGTTATGTAAAGATTTTATATTAAGTGTATTACATGGCTTGGTTTTCTTCTCGTTTCCTTCCTGTTGCTCTGATAAACACTTTGACCAAAACCAACTTGATTTAAAAAAAAAAAAATGTTTTCTGGGCTTAAGGAGAGAGGGAGGGAGGGAGGATGGGAGGATGAATATAGACAAAGAAACAGGCTGATCATATTTCATCAAAACATAGAAAGCAGAAAGTGTAGTAAGCCTATAAAAGCTCAAAGCCTGCCCCCAGTGATAGACTTCCTCCAAGAAGGCTCACCTCCAAAAGGTTCCCTTCCTTATCAAACAGCACCACCTACTGGGACCAAACACATGAGCCTGTGGAGGAGGATAGTTCTTATTAAAACTAGCACACTTGGCTTGATTTGTAAATATCAGTTAATTTTTGTATTTGTAAAAATGTTGAAGCTCATTAGGTGATGGAGGTGTATTCCTTTAGTCCCGAAGTCAGGGGGCAGAAGCAGGTAGATCTCTATGAATTTGAGGCCAATCTGGTCTATAGAACAAGTTCCAGGACAACCAGGGCTGTTACACAGAAAAATTCTATCTCAAAAAACAAAACAAAAAATTTTGAAGCTCAATAAAGTAATCTGAATAAAAAATTGATTAATGGTAAAGGCAACAAGAGAATAAGTTATTTCTAACCACAATTTAAATGCTGAAAACTTTTTGGTACTTGAGAAGATTCAAGATTAAGGATAACGTTGAATATATTTCTGTTTCTCTTTAAAGGAAATCTATACATGCGCATGTGATTTATATATATATATAAAACTATTGCTCAATTAGATTTTGTAACATGGTTTATAATTTCAGAGTATTAAGGGTGAATTTTAGTGGTTCTTAATTAAGCAAGAATATGTTTATTCAGTGTGGGAAACACCCTGGTTCTGTTTTTCCTCTTTCAGATTGCAAAATTACGACAGCAATTGCAGAGAAGCAAACATAGCAGTCGTCATCATCGAGATAAAGAAAGACAGTCTCCATTCCATGGCAACCATGCAGCTATTAACCAGAGCCAGGTAAGAAAAGAAATTTCTTTTCTTGTAGGTGCTTTCTAATTTTTTTTAGGGTAAGATGTCCAAAACCATGTTTGAAACAATGGTTTAAGTCCTAAATCACAACCTTCTTTCCAAACATCCCCCAGATTTACAAAATGGTATCATCATGTAGGTATATACCCAATTACACATTTTTTTAAAAAAAGTGTCTTTATTTGTTTACTTTGGAACTTTTTTTTTCTACCCCAGATAGAGGGTCTCTTTACATAGCTCCAGCTGGCTTGGAACTCCTAGAAATCACTTGGCTTTGCCTCCCAGGTGCTGGGATTAAAGGTGTGTGCCATGCCCAGCTCCAGTTACACATTCTGATTTAACCCATTTTGCTGAAGCAGGATGCTCACAGAGGCATAGCATTGGCCTTTTTAAGTTTCAGTTACATCATCTGAAAATTGGGAATAATAATTCCTTGTCTCAGTGTCTTCTGGGAGGGAAAACTAACTGCTTTGATCCTATGGAGGGGTAAGTGGCTCACCCATAGAGCTTTTCTCTGTCAGGATTCACATAGCTAGATAGAGTTCTTGGTATGAAGAGAGCAGGCTTATGTCATCCTGTGGTTGAATCTCTCAAATCTCCAAAGCAATGTTTTGGGAATATAGGAGCCTATATTCAGTTTTCTGTCAGAACAGTAGGATAGTGACTCTGGAGGGTGGAAGGAAACTAGAAGGCTAGTTCTGTGACCCTAAAACATTTACTGTTTTATAGAAAAAAAGGCTTTCTGTTTTGAGTTGATAAAAATCTCATGATTGTTAATATGCATAGGTTTTATGCAATAGAAAATAAGAGTAAAGAAATATTTTTAAAAATAATTTTGAGCTTTGTAAGTTTGTAGTTTGGTTTTAGTTTCTAGTAGCTTTTCTCCATGTTTAAGATTGTATTTAAAAAATATGATCGAGGGAAGTGTGGCTTAAGAGAGTGCACTGCTCTTGCAGAGGAACACCCAACTTGTAACTCCAGCTCTGGGGAATCCAATTCTTAAGAGTCTTCCTAGGCATCTATACTCACATGCATGTACTTGTACACAGACACACACATACACAATAATTAAATATAAAATAAATCTTAAAAAATAGAAATTTTATCTGAGTATACTGACAGAAGTCTGTAATCTCAGTCTTTGGGAGGCCAAGATACAGTTAATATGTAGCAAGAGAGACCCTGTCTCCAAAAAAAAAACCAGGCTGGCCTTGAACTCACAGAGATCCTCCTGCCTCTTCCTCCTTAGTGCTGGGACCAAAGGATACACCACTATCGCCCAGTTAAAAGTTGAATTTTCTTAATAAAAATTAATAAGGGCTCAAAGTACAGCATGTTCCAAGACCTGACTATTCTGAGTTCAGTTCCAGAACCCATGTGGTAGAAGAAGACAATTGATTCTCCATAAATTTTTCTCTGATTTTCACTCATGAGTGGTGTGGATGGACACACACACACACACACACACACACACACACACACACACACACACACACACTTAAAAAAGAAAAAGAATGAGTTTGTTAGTGCACACCTTTAATTCCAGCCCTTGGGGCAAGAGGATATCTGAGTTGGTAAGACAGCCAGGCCATCTAGGGAATTCAGACTACCCAGGATTACGTAGTAAGACCTTGTCTCAAAACACCACACTCACACCCCCAAAAGAAAATTTATCTAGCTTGAATCTTTATACTTGACAAATAAAATACCTGTTTGACTTGTCTTGTGTATTAGCCAACCCCAAATCAGACACAAGATCTTGATGGTCATATTGGTATTTAATTGAAACTCTCAGACTATAAGCATATTAAGTTACTGGTATGGTGTTGATTATGTCTTTAGTGGAAAAAAAAGGACATTATTGAGGTCATTCAAACATTTGAACAGTTTATTAAGTACTTACCCTCTGATGGCATTGTAATACTCATTAGGAAAAGTGACAATAAAGAAGTAATCTCATATCTCCACCAGATCTTATTTTTGAGGGATGTAGGTAAATAGTTAATTATAATACTGTACAATGAGTATGTTGATAAGAAGAGGGCACCATGCTAGGGGTGAGCCATTCAGAAAGGCTTCTCAGAAACTGTTGTCTGGTTGATCCCTGAAATATGTATAGTTAGCTCATCTTCTAGAGGTAGAGAAAGTCATGGCCATAGTAGGGATGGTACTAAAAAATTAGGAGAGGTAAACAGCAGGAAGGCCTGAAAGTCTTCACAGATTAGTTATTAGCATAGTGACTTAATCCTAGTTATACCAAAGAACATTTTTTTTAATTTATTTTTTACATTCCAATCCCAGTTCCTCCTCTTCTCCTCCGAACATTTTTTTTTTAAGTTGGAAATCTCATGATCTCAGATGTATTTTATAATGGTATTATAGGCTTAGAATATGTGATGAGTTTAGTAGAAGACAAGTATACAAATTGGAAAGTCATTCAAAGAATAAGTAATGTGAGTAAGGAAGTATAGTTTCCCTCTGGTAATGTAGAAACTTGAATCTGGTGAGAAGATGATAATAATTGATTGACCTCTGTTGAACTGCTTACTAAATGACAGGATATGTCATTATTGGCAGTTAATCTTCATGTTATAATTAATATTAGCTCCCATCTTATAGACAAGGAAATTGAGACTCTGAGAGGTCGTATGAGGCAAGCTTGGGTTCTAACCTAGACATTCTGACATGAGATCTGAGTGTTCACGTTTTGCTGGCTGATGACTGCCAATAGGTGATGATGAGAGATGAATAAAAGATGAAGCCAATTTTAGCCTCTGAAGTACAGTTCTAAAAGTGTGTACCAGTTTGCCATTGGAGATGAGTGCTGAGTCCAGTCTTTATTGGAGAAGTTTCTGATGGCAGTGGGCCTCAGCTAATGCAGACCCAGAACTGCCAATGTGTCAAGATTAACAGTGTTCCGCTTTAACCAAGACAGCTATATTATACCCTCTAAGGCTCAGAGAACATTTTGGAAGAGGAGTTGGGGAGAATATAGGAATCAGGATGATGTCTATCAAAAAGATATCCTTTGGACATGACATAGATGTTGGGCTTCTGAACTCACTATATTGGTTATCAGCGTAAGGCCTGCATCAGGCTGAGCCCATTGACATTTCCTTATGCAATGTGGAGGGGCCCACAAGGCCCCCACATCTCTCTGAGGCACTGTTGGCAATTAATGGTTGTGGAAGGAAGGTACAGCATTTTCTTGAGTGGTGTAGCCATTGATAAGTTGCTTTTGCTTTAGTGTATAACCTGCCATTCATACTTGGGCAAAAAAACCAAAATAAACTCTGGGTTATACCCAAAAGAAGGCATGGATGTAGGGATGGGAACTTGCTGAGTAGAAGGGTTTCAGCAGGGGAAGGAGGGTGGATGAGAGCGGAGAAAATTTTCCTGTTTATCAATTCTGTTTAGCTAACTTCAATGTTTCCAGACCTGTATGTCTTACTCCATTCTTACTCACATGCTGTGAAGCAGACATTCATGTTAGATGTTGATGTAGATGGCTTAGAGTTACTATTGGCTACACGTTCTGCTTTTCTTCATTGGCTAAGTCTTAGTTTTTATGCAGTGTTTCAGTTACTATTCTATTGCTGTAAGAGACACCATGGTGAAGGCAACTCTTAGGAAAGAAAACATTGAACTGGGGGCTCCCTTAAAGTTTTAGAGAGTTAGTTCATGATCATGGTGGAAAGCAGACAGGCTTGTCACTGGAGGAGTAGCTAAGAGAGAGCTTTACATTCTGACCTGAAGGCAGCAGGCAAAGAGGCGCTGACAATGAATGGGCTTGGCATGGGCATTTGAAACCTCAAAGCCCACCACAGTGACACACCTCCTCCAACAAGGCCACTCATCCTAATTCTTTCCAAACAGTTCCACTAGCTGGGAACCACGCATTTAAACATATAATACTATGAGGGGAATTTTCACTCAAACCACTACATACAGAATATAACGTGAATAAAGTGGGCTACCTAATTAGAAGTCCTGGTGGGCCAAATCATGGAAGGGTTTGCTTTGAGGAGAAAGACGAGGAAAATAGTAAGCACTTTTTATTTTTCCAAAGTACAGATCTGATGAGAGAGATTTTACCTTAACACAGTGAAGAACTTTTTAACATCTTTCAGATGTCTAAAGACCTCTCAGAAGGCAGTGGTGGCTCACACCTTTAATCTTACAACTGAGGAGGCAAAGGAAGGCAGATCTCTGTTGCGGTCGAGGCCGTCCTGGACTATAGAGCTGGTTCCAGAACAGCCAGAACTACACAAAGAAACTCTGTCTCCAAAAACAAAACAAAACAAAATTCTCAGCTAATCTGATAGCCCACTTCCATTTGTGTATGCTGATTTATATGTAGAATTCACATTATTGCAGAAACCTCTGTTGGTTCCAGAAAAAAAAAAAATCCTTGCTGTTTAATTTTTTAAATTAAGAGAGTGACAGAATAAAACAAACAAACAAAAAAATTAGGAGTGCCAGGACCAAAATAAATAAATACATAAAAAGAAAGAAAAAAGCAAAATTCCTTGAAGAGCCCTTGAAATAAAAGATTATGTTTATTCTCTTCAGATATTTTAGAATATAGTTTATATAAGGAGTGAAATCAAAGGATTACTGTCTTCTGTATCTTCAGCAATAACATTAATTTTAACCAAGTCCTTCCCAGGTATCTGGGTGAGTTACTTTTTTTCTAATCTTGTAGTGGCAGCTGGTTAAGTTAAGCTGCTAGTTAAAACCCTGTATCTTGGTGCACAGGCCTTTGGAGAATGTCTTGCTTTTGCCTTCTCTTTTTCCTTCCTTTCCTTTGCTTGAGACAAATTAAACTTTTGGTAGATTATTGCTGCTAGGGAGATCTTTTGAACTTTATCCCCTGCCTTGAGATGTAGTACAAAACATCAGCAAACCAGATGTGCAGAGCCAGCCACAGTGCTGCCAGTTCCTTTATGTGTGCCTTTCTCAGCATGGTATCTAGGAAGCTCTTACTC